AAAAAAAAAAATGCTGGGCTTCACGCCAACCTTTCTGGGAGGAAGCAATGTGAACCGCAGTGAATCGCCATGAAACTCCAAAAGTTTCATTTCAAGTACATAGAATTCAGAATAACGCCTGGGAAATGCTCATTGTTAAACCCAAGAGAGAGTAGAACTACCCGCGGTTTACCTGAATATGCTCCACGACTTGGTCTCTTTATCTTTCGCTTCTGTACGTTCCACATCGATCACATAGGCATAAATTGTTCTACCAGTCGTATTATCTCTCATCGGAGTAATTTTGCTAACATTGACTTTCCACAGGTTGATATTTCGCGTCTCTTTGTCTATTATAAGTGTCGGTTCAGCATCTCCACCTTCTAGCGCAGAAGCAGATGCTGAGGCACTTAGCTCATCTTCATCCTGGACAAGATGGATATTTAATCAGTCTGGTTTGGTAAGATGTGCTTACCGTAACCGAGTAGGCGCTCGCTGGGGATAGATTGGACTGTGAATCGCTTACAACAGAGACGTCAATGGACGGTATAGTCAGCTGAGCAGAATAACTTGACGGTAACGATGATGTCGACTCCTGTAAAATATTTTGCACATTTTTTAGGCTCAAAAATTTCCAGAGATTGCTTACAATCCTCACTAGACTAGCTCGATCATCCTTTGCGCTTTCACTGGAGATGCTGATCAAGTCATCTTCAACAGCTGGGCTACACTCCAAAGATTCTTCGCTGTCTAGAGAGCCATCCAGTGATACTACAGCTATGGCTTTCCGTAATCTTGTCCTGAGAAGATTAAGATGAGATTTTCAAATATTACAATCATTCAATGGTCTTTTGCTTGGGGCTTGATAGACTGCCACGAGTTACCGTGTATGGCATTTTTGATCAGATCAAAAAAATTCGGACAAATTGGGAAAAATTGGGTTTAGTGATACCATTACTTACCTAAACTGCGCTAAAGAAAACGTCCCTCCTGAGACAGATGGCTTTCTAGGCATGGTACGCTGATCGATGAGTTCATTGACAGAAACTGGAGGACTACCGCAGAGATATCTAAATTACAAAGTCATTCAACTTTGAAATAACATAGCAATGATGAACCCACCCTAGGAATGCATCGGACTGACAAAATGGAATTAAGTGATCATTTTGCATACGCTGGTAGACCATTTGGTACGACTGAATTGCAAAAAAAGGTAAAGGTGGTGATTATCTAGGTTATGAGACCCTACCGTTTCGATTACTTTGTCTAAAAGAGCTAAATTGTTGCATTCCACAGCATTCTTGAATTCTTGAACAATCTCTGGACTGAATTCAATACGTTCGGGAGCACTGTCATGTACAAACTGTCCGAACAGTTGCCATATGTCATAAGCAATTTGCCCAGATGATTCAGCCT